CGGCGTCGCATCGCACAGGGGACGTACTTGAGCGCTGTTCAAGACGATGCTAGGAGAATGAGTTCAAGACTGCCATGAACTTCCATGCCTACGGCAGCATGCTGACCCATCCGCACGGGCACCCAGCAAGCAGTACCGAAAGCGGTATCGCCTGTCAGTCGTCTGTTGCTTGCTTGCCTGAGGATCTCAAGAACATGCAATGCTTGCGCCATGCATGCGACACCTGAGGTACAACTGGGCAACTGCCGATCTCATGCCCGCAGAAGACAAGAAAGTGTACCAGGAAATCGCTCGGGTATTCGGCTCCTTGGCGTGCCGAGCGTGTGGCTGGAACAGTAACAGCTTGAAACAGACAGAACGTAGACAAGAAGCGAGGTTCTGCTTACGCTGCGTGTACTGAGGATACAAAAAGTTCGGCCCAGCAATAAAGACCGTGGTGCGAATCCCGGAATTGAAGCCCTGTGGCGTGCAGATTTTGGACAGGATAGCAGTTGAAGACCCCCATGATCTCGTCCAGGGCTATACCACTTCTGGAGAGTCTGACGACTGGATGTACTCGGCAAGGTGTCTCGCAAGCATGTGTGACCTGCTTCAAGGGTATTTGAAAGTTCTTGGGTCGCTATTTGCGGCCTAAACCCTAAACCCTAAGCCCTAAACCCTAAACCCTAAACCCTAAATCCTAGACCACAAATCAGTCATTGAGCTCTCGTACTAGCCCAAACCCGAGCCCATATCCAAGAATTGCAACCTAGGCACATCATCTCGATGTCTCCGGAGGTGCTTGTGCCACATGCATGATGCCACATGTCGGGTTTAGGTTTAGGGTTTAGGGTTTAGGTTTTAGGGTTTAGGGTTTAGGGTTAGGGAACCTTTGCTGTGCTCGCGTAGGTGGGCCCTGAAAGTGGTGGCTTCTGGCCTCCGTCATCTCAGATTGGTGACATTGACGCCCGCAACTTCGACCGTACATTGTGAGCCCATACCTGCACATGGGGGTTGAGCGAAATCATGGGCCCTTGCCGGTAGCCCGAAACCCGACAGTATACTACAGGGAGCACACCAGAAAAAGCCGTCACAGAGACACCAAAAGAGGCCCGTGAGTTTGATGAAACCCTACACCTAAACCCGAAACCCTAAACCCTAAACCCACATGAGCATCATACATCATATAGCTTCTGGAACTCCTGGGCCGAGCTATTTGTCTCAAGCAGGTACATTGCCGGCAAGGCTGGCATGGAGTTGCACACAGAATGGGTACCGGCCACAGCTTACAACTGTTGCGATTAGGGTTTAGGGTTTAGGGTTTCGGGGTTAGGGGTTAGGGTTAGGGTTCTTGTGCAGCTGCTGCAAGGTCCAGCAGCCACTTCCACCAGCAGGCGGTCTCATGGAAATGTACCACTCTACCCGGGTTTAGGGGTTTAGGGGTTTCGGAGTTTAAGGATTTAGGGGTTTAGGGCATTAGCGTGTGAGAGATCTCCAAAGTTGGACTGGCACAGGCCCCGACCTTTCATCTCTGGGAGATCCTCCGCGAAGCCTCCTAAAACTCAGGAGCGCGGGCTTTCTTGGCAGCCCAGTCAGTCAGTGGTACCCTTTGCCCTTTAAAGTATCCAAACCCAAAAAAGTGCACTCTTACCATACCATGGTTGCTGGGTTACCAGCTTTTCCTAAAGCGCCAACCAGTAAAGTAAAGCAAAGCACGAGAACCTGCAGTGCGTCGCAGAGTGGAGACAAGCCACCCGGTAAGTTGCGGCTTCTAGCAAATATCGACAGGGGGAGAGATCCGGGGAGAGGATAAGGGACTCTACTGGTCCTTAATCGGGAGGTCGGGAATTAGGTGCCTTCTCTCCACCTTTCTGATCCTTGAAGGGATTCTTTTTAGGAACCTGATGCCCAGATTCCCTGCTCAGATCCAGTAAGATAAGAGACATCGTGCTTCGTCTTCTCTCGGGCAGAACGACGTTGCATCCGCTCTCAAGACACGTGCCCAGGCCGTCATGAGAAGCTCATCTTGACCCACTTCGACCCTGTATCAATGGCCCAAGAACCCCATCATGTTAGGCCGCACACTAAAACACTGACGCTAATTTGCTGACGCAAGCGCTCTGAGCTCAGATGCAGGGCTCCATGCAAGTTCCCTACCACGCTTCGTCTCCAGCCTACAGGATCGCCAATCGTGGTCTCACAAGCAGCCACGGGAAGGAGCGGGTCATGCCGAAGAGCCGACATTTTTCATGCATCGTTCGAAGCCCGCCCAGTGCTACTGGCCAGCGCAGGTTCTGCAAATTGCTGTCCGCGGGGTTGTGGCTGGAGAAGCTGAAGGCATAATTGACCGATTCTTTGAAGTGGATGAGCTGGTTCCCCCAGTGTACAGATTGCTGCAGCAGTGGCTTAGTTGCAGGTGATGTCGGCTTCCTCACGGTCATGTCGCCGACCCTGCTGGACCGGAGTGCTTTGTTTAGGGTTTAGGGTTTAGGGTTTAGGGTTCTTTGAAGGTGTTCTCGCACGACCTCGCGCGACCAAGCCAAGCCACCTGTGTCAGGATTCCGTTGAGAGTCGGCAGACGTTGACGGCTGACAAGGGGATCCTCGCCTGGAAGGCAGGCAACATGTGCGGTTTTGCGTGCGGGCGCATGCGACTGTGATGAAGGTCGATTCCATTCCCAGCCGTTCATCCCGAGAGTTTCGCATGTACCTTTCAAGGCCTGATCCGCTGGGGGATACACAGCAACCAACAGTCCCCAACAAAACAGTCGAGAGTCGTACAATGAAGCGCAGCCACTTCATGCACTAGGGTCATCTAGGGTCTGCATGCACCACCTGGTTCTGGTACCCAGCGGCTGCAATTCTTGATGTTTCTGGTTTTATCGATTGCAAATCTGAGCATGAACGCCATGACAGATTTGCCAGTGGTCCCGGTAGCCGTCGAGCCAAGAAAGTCACCTGATGACATAGTTCGGATCCAGAGCTCCACATGCTTGGCCTCTGCCCTATCCGCACAGACCATCCAGAGCCCAATGCAAAATGATGCAATGTGTGGTCCTAAACCCTAAACCCTAAACCCTCAACCCTCAACCCTCAACCCTCAACCCTCAACCCTCAACCCTAAACCCTAAACACTAAACCCTAAACCCATCTAAACCCTAAACCCTAAACCGGGTTGCTCTGCGAGCCTGCTGGCTTGCTTGTGACCCGACGCTCTCGAAAGTCTCAAGAGAGCGCAATGTCTGCCTGGACAGGTCCAGCGAGCCAGCTGCCCAACGAAGTGTTCAGACGTGCGTGGCGGAGGCAGCTACAGGTACCTTTTTCTTTCGCGAATTTTGATCGTAACACTTCGTCATAGTATGTAGTACATGTTTTCTCATCATCATGGACCATTCCTATTTCTTTCAGAATGGCTATTGCTTGAAATTGCAACCATGCGGGTTTGGGCTGCCTGAAGCAACGATGCGCAAGAGCACCCGGCCAGCATCCATGAACGCCATGGAAGGTAACTGTGTGCCAGGCAAGAAACACCCATTGCACCCCTTAGCGCGAGGCGGCGGTGGCTTGAATGGATCTGGTTTTGAGCACCCCCCGCCTGGCTGCCTGTGCTACAGCCGATATCCCCCGCTGTATGACCCTTAAGGGGTTATTCACTTCCCTGCTCAGAGTTAGGATGTTGTCAGGCCTTTGCGGAATCCGTTTGCCAGTGTACTGAGCGCAGTCCTGAGATAGATATAGGCATTTGCGAAAACAGGGGTACCCTTTTCCAGGCTACATAACATACGGTTTACCGCATTGGGGATTACTGTACCCCTGTTTTGGGAAATGCCCATCTCTTTGTGAGATCAAGCTTTAAACTTGTGGGATCGGGACCGCGGCAAGGTTGATTGAGCTGCCTGGTTCCTCAATGCTGGTATCCAAGCAGTGACCTGGCGAAGAACTAACAAAAACCCTGAGCCCCAGACCCTAAACCCAAGTCTAAACCCTGAAACCTAACCTTTAAGTCTATCGGATTCCGGGTGAGGGTCTTTAGGGCGGCAGGGTTTTGGCAACAGCAAGGGTGTAGGGCTTGCTTGGCATGCTGAGGGTCACAGCATTGCAGGATGCATCTCCTGGCCAGTGACTCAGGTCAGCTCGGAAGATTTATGCTTTACCTCACGGCAGAAGTAGCTCCGCCGGCCTTGGCCTTGGCTTGTACCTTTCTAGACGTGTGATGCCTCGCGCCGGGGTGTGCAAAGACATGCAACATCAACGAGGAGAGGGCATCAACTTGCTCTGTGCAGCGGCTGCAAATGGCACAACTTCCGAGATTGCTTGGGTGCTCGTTGAGGAACATAAGCTAAGTTGCCATACAGCAAGCAACCCAAGTGAAGCGCCTCGGGCACCTTAAATGAAGCCTGAAAATTGGGATCATATACCACTGTGCCACTGTACTGCATGTTAGGATAGGGCATATGGACCAGGAAAGCCCTTTCAGGGCTAACGTAGGCCCCAAGCTACCTCTGCTAGGGTACTTAAGGGAACACGGCAGGGAGCAGCATCGAAATGCGCCACTGGGAAGGGGTTTTAGGGTTCGAGGGAGGGTAATACCCGGTTGATGATCGGTGCATGCCAGGAGCGCAGCTACCAGCCCAGGATCATGAAACGCCTCCTCCAGCTTGAGCCCAATCGTTAGGGAGTTCCCTTGTGACTGGAAACGGCTCAATGGCCTGAAGAGCTCCGTTCCGCAAGTTGTGCGCAAGTTGTGAATGATTGCGCTTTGGATTGGTCTAGTTATTGGGGATATTTAGGGTTTGGGGTTTCGTTCTTTTCTATCTTGCCATTGCAGTCAGGCGTGCAACAATGCCGACATGTGCCGAGGCCAATGTGGAGACTGCGGCTTTGCCAACGAGGACCTGACCGCACCCAACAATGTGATGTACCACAACCAGTCATTCGCTGGTGCCGGATTGTTAGTTCGAGTATTCAAGCTTTAGGGCCTTGAGGGTTAGAGCGCAGCAGCGTTAAGTTTTCAGGGGCGCGATGACGGCCAGTGCCAGGGACCGGTGGGACGTGTTGGGGGCACCTTTGGCCTCGGGTCTTTTCATCTTGAGGGGTGCGGGCATGCCTTTCCTACATCGTCACTTAGCATCCCAATCCTCACATGACATGAATCGTTAGCCTTTAGGGTCGATCCGAGTCCTCAACGTGCAGAGGATGCCGACAATCGCGACAACCCCGACAAGCGCGACAGCGCCTCAGAGGTCAGAGAAAACTTTCCTCCACCCCTCGACCCCTCGATGCAAGAATGAAGCACAGGCCGTTGGTGCTGCCTGGCCTGGCGACGCCGCTGGGTTTGTCGTCGAAGCCTTCACAAGGCTTCTTGGGATGCTGATGTCGAGGTTGTTCGCTTGTTGAAACTCTCACCGCTCCTAGCTGGTCAGGCACATCCGACCCGGTGCAGACACAGATCGCTGAGCAAGATGCCGCACCAGTGCTCCTTGCTGTGTTATCACCGACCACAGCGGGTGCCAGCTTAGATTCAGCAGGACACGGCATCCGCGACTTGGATACTCATGGCATTGGGCGCCACTCTAGTGGCCGGAGCCTGCGACACAAGGACATGAGCAAGCCAAGCTGGACACCTCTTGCTCCAGTGTCTGAGGCCATGTGCATGTGCATGGCCATGCAGCCCTTCATCATGCCGCGGCGTGCTTCTTGACGAATATGAGTGAATTTCACTTGGATGCCTGTTGGGGTGTCTTTGTTTCTAGCTCAAGGTAGGCTGCCTCTGGAGTCTACAGTGTGTTGGGCTTTGGGTATCCGAAGAACACTAGTTTCGGCCAGGATGCGGCAGAGCAAGGGAGCCGAAGACGGAGTGTTGCAAGGAATTTATACGCAGCCTCTAGGAGCCTAGCAGAATCTCCTGGGCCCATGCATTGGTGCGAACACCACACACACACTCACAGATGCTAGGTTGCCAAACGGGCTCCATCTGCCGTCGACTATGAGCAGATTCCGAGCTTGCAGGCATGAGTCGGAAGTTGCTCTGATCTTTGCTGCCCGGCCTGAGCTTCCCAGGTGCCCCGACCAGAGGACGTGTTGCACCGAGAGTGATGAATGCATGAAAGCCAAGAACCACAAAGCCGCAAAGCCGGGGTGACTGGAGCAGGTCTTTCCATGCCTTTCCGAGAATGTGTGAGTGCAGCTGCGAAGCTCGAGCCATACCCAGCGCAAACCCAAAACCCTAGCCCTAACCATGAACTCTAAGCCCTATAAGACCATGAAATTTCTAAGCCCCTATTGACAAACCCTACAACGCAGAATGAAGAACGCTTGCAGGAGACGGAGGAGCATGAGCTCTTGTTCCAAGCTCTGCTTGTTTGGACTTCTTGCATCTGGCACACTGCACAAGAGCTTCGTGCCGCTGGGTCGGAAGCCGCTGTTGGGCGCGTCAGTGGCCGCCACGGCGATTCCTCTTCCAGCGTTCGCGGACTTCGAGATGCCAGATCCTGGCTTGGCTCTGTCGGTCATCGTTGTGGGTGGGGCATGTGCTGCGCTCTCATGGGTTGCCGGCCTGAGACCACGCAAGACGGTTGATGGACGACCTCGCTCCACTTCCCTTTACCGCGTGTTTCAGGCCAAAATGAGGCAAGGCGAGTTCGCCGAACTGTCCAAGCCGAGAGATGACGAAGGAGGCGGAAGCTCTCCATCCGGGCCGGGCAACGCGGAGGAGGAGCTCGATGCCTTTGTTGATGCCTACGTGGATGGGCTTGAAAATGACATCGAAGATTCTGTGGACACAAAGGAAATCCCAGAGTCTCGTTCCAGAGAGCCATAGAGGAGCCCTAGTGCCGTCACAGCGGGAACGACCACTGCTCCTCCGTGTACATGCCGTGATCCTTTGGATCCTGTAGGCTCATAAGCCCTAAACCCTAGCCCTAAACCCTAAACCCTAAACCCTAAACCCTAAGCTCATGGACTCATGGACCGGTCATTAACTTTGTAGCCAGCGACCTTGCAGCAACGTGAGAGAAGGGCTCCCCTTGCTCAGAGGATGCAGAGCCTTGGGCGGACGTCAGCTGATGATGGGGGAAGGGCAGAGAAAGCTCACGCGCAGCAGCAGCCGTTTGTTGTTTCATTTGAAGTCGTCATGTGAAGCTCGTCCAAGTTTGTGCGTTCGCAATCTTTTCCCTTCATGGTGCCTCCGGCTCTTCCCATCACAGTGTAGTGTTTTTGGCTAGGTGGTGCGAGCATTTCTGGCCTAAAGCAGCGGTGTTGTAGATGCAGTCGAAGGCTTGCTGTGCGCCAGCAAGCCACAGAATGAACTCAGACCGTGCCGATGACAAGCACAAAACTGTGTGTCGCTGGTTACTACCAGTATTCTGCCTCCTCCTCCCTTTGCCCCCGCCTCACACCCACTTGAGATCATGGGGTGGTATATGTCGATGAAAGGACTCGGATGATGCCGTTGGCAACCGCCAGGCCCCTCTGCCTTTGCATGGGATATTTTTTCTCGTTGCAGGGTTCATCATTTGGGGCGTGAGCCTTGCTTCACTGGTCCAAGTGCTTCTGCAAAGTCGCGTGCCGATCATGGGCATGATGAGAATGGGTGGGGTGCCCTGTGACACATCATCCTGTCGAAAGAAAAATCTCCCCAAGAAGACGATCGAAACGGCGAAAGGCACGGCAGATACCCTCGTGAAATAATTGAAACCGCATCTCCCAAGCAGCAAAAAGTACGTGATTCTACGTGATCAGCAGCAATCATGTGTCCTGGCTTACACACAGGTCGAGAACACATAGACTCGATTCGTCGAAGTCTTTGGGACATTGGTCGTTGGAAAGCTCATCTTAGCCCACCAACTCTTGTACCCTTACGCTTTCAAGATCATTCAAAAAGGATTCAGGAAACGAAAATGCATTGGCGACGACAATGTAGGCGTGAGACGCAGCTTCTTTCAAGCACCTGGAACACAAACGGAAAGTGGCACATTTGTGACAGGCGCTGTCGGGCATGCTCTGTAGTCAGTTTCAGTCACTGGTCTCGCACATCGAAGTTGCTGTGCTGCAGCTAGCTGCCTTCAGATGACTGAAAGACTGATAGCTGCTCTGACGCAGGTGTGATACTGTGAGTTGCAAGATTTTCTGGTTTCACCGACCCCAATCAAGCTCGTTGTCGAACGCGGAGAAAGTTTTGCAGTAGGCACCTCATTGCGTATCCACATGTGCCCCCGTCAACTGTGTTTCAAGAAGAAACAGGCATCTTTGTGACGCCATGACTGGATGCAGAAGCGCATGCCAAGGAGGACATAGATAATTGTTCACCGCGGCTCCCTTTGCCCGTGCTCTCAGGACAGTGCTCTGGCTGAGGGAATTCAATTCAGGCCCCCCCTCGCATCCAGCTTGCGCGCGCCGCGCAGTGGGTGAAGGCGTGGATCAATGCCGGCGCTTTGCAGTGGCATACTTAAACTGCCCCTGCCACCAGTCGAGGCGAGGGCAAACCTGCAAAATGGTAAACGAAAAAAATGAGAAGGATGCCGGGCACCTGCAGTCGCACCGCATGTTTGTTTGTACCTTTGTGTGCACTTTGCCGCCCATGAACCCCATAGTCACGCAATGGGAATACGGCGTAGACACATGTTACCATGACATTTGGATACTTTGAGCAGGAAAGAACTAATTCTGTCTCGCGGCGCTGAGGCCGTAGCCCTCTCCGTCCCGAGCAAGGGCGGCGAGCCCCCCGAGGCACTCAGCCGCAGCACTAGGGTTTAGGGTTTAGGGTTTAATTACGGTTTAGGGTTTAGGGTTTAACATACCACTTAGTAGAGGAGGAGCTGGATTGTGAACGTGGTGTAGTGTGCTCAGGCCAAGAAGGACCCCAAGAAGAAGAGTGTCAAAGAAAAAGAGGAGGTCATGCCCCTATGTTCAACAAGTTCTTTACCCTGGCTGTGCATACTTGTATGTCGCTGTAGGTGTTGCATGTGGCCCTAAACCCTAAACCCCAAACCCTAAACCCTAAACCCCTAAACTCGTCTAGGAACTTTCCGAAGAAGACCGGCAGAAAAAGGAAGAGCTGGAGCTCCTCGTGCAGAGGGCACAGGACAGGTCCAGACCAAATGGCGTAGGAGATGCTTGACGCGATGACGCGCAGCATGTAGGGGGTTATGGTTGAGGGTCTCTATGTAGTGTACACCTAACGGTTCAGGGTGCCCAAGGATGCTCTCTATCGTGATTTCAAGAACCCCGCACGGGAGACACATCGCACAAGAAGCATCTGCGAAACACAGCTTTCTCAACGGCGACCTGCCATGAATCAGCACAACCAGTTCACCACGTAAGTGCGTAGTCCTTCTTAGCTTCTGCAGCAGTGCAGAACGCAGCTAGGCTAGCAGCTCTTATGTCGGCTACACGTTACCCAATGATGCTGCAGCGCTGCAGAGCCATTGGGGTCCGTAGCATCAATGCGCCTCGCCTGCATTCTTCCAGGATCTCCCAGAAACCGACAGCACTGGCATGTTGCCAATGCTTGGTTGAGGGGGTAGGATAGCAATCACTAACCCTTCTTAGCCCCGAGCTTTGTCTGACGTTCGAGGCCGCTGGCAGACGATGGACTCGATTTCAGAAGCTGGGTGTGGCTGCAGTGACAGCCGGGGCGACGCCATCAGTCCTGCATTAATGGAGGGCCATTTGTGCGCCCATTCCACGACCATTCCAGCTTTTGGCAAAGCACATGTGCACGTAACATAATAGAGTAGAACCTTTTGGGACAATCTGAAAGCTGATGCTCACCCTGAGCCCTAAACCCTCAACTCGCTTCAGTTCGGAAAGGTCTTGGGTCTCGACGAAGTTCGTCCAGTGCGACACTGAGACTTGGCTTAGATGTGGCGGTTGAGATCAGAGAGAGATAGGAACCTCGAACAACCGTCTTCGGTCAGTATCATATTTTAAGGGGCTGCGCCCATGGGCGGGCAGCGCACGCAGAAGCCCGGGGCGAGCAGTTTCTAAGCATGTTGAGGCCCCTAAACTCCCTTAAAATCTCTAAGCATTAAGTTTCTAAGCATTTTCAGGCCCCTAAACTCCCTTCAAATCTCTAAGCGTTTGAGGCTCCGAGACTCCCTTAACGTTTCTAAGCACTTTATAAGGCCCCTAAACTACCTTTTTCCTAGCCCCGGCCTTAGACACGTCGCTTATGCCCGCCCTTTGGGGGGCATCATGCTCCTGATGCCCCCCCGCGGTCCCGCCCCGGGAGCCGCTGATGCTCCTGATGCGCGCCTGGGGGTCCCGGGCTGGACCCGCTGATGCTCATGATGCGCGCCCTCTGGGGGCCTCCGTGGCGACGCAAAAAAACCACGAAAAAAAAACCGTTCACCGGCGGCACGCGGGGGTCGGCGGCACTGGCGTCCGGCCTAATTCTGCTTCGCAGAAGGCCAGAGGCCAGCAAGGCTATTCCCGGGACGACCCGGGCTAAAAGGTCCGCATTTGCTCGGTCCTTTGGGGACCTCGCGCTGCCCGATTTAATGGCTACCGCCAGTGCCGCCGACCCCCTCCAAGGGGGGCCAAGGCACTGTGGGCTCCGGCCGCGGATTATGTATATATATATATATATAGATATATGCGCAGGGCTTGGTCAGGTTGTAGAGTTCAGGGGGGCGAAACATGGAGCCCTGATGCGCAGGGAGTTGGGGCTAAACCCCAAATCTAAAACCGCAAACCGCAAACCCGAAACCCGCAACCCTGAAACCCCAAACCCCCAAACCCTAAACCCCCGTAACCAGGAGACTTGAACCTGAGGCCTCGACGTACACCCCAAACTCGAAACCACAAACCCGAACCCCTAAACCGCCGTGGCGGCGGAGACCATGGCGGAAGCGCCGGGCCGCCCAGTCAGGGTTTGGGATGCCGAGGAGGAGGGTTTGCAGATTTTCGGGGATAATGGAGGGTTGAGGCAGTCGAGACCTTGCAAGGCCTAGAGTTCAGGGTTTAGGGTTTAGGGTTCTGGCAAGCAATCCAAGCTCGTGGACATTCGCCACTTCCCAAAAACTCTGGAGCCAGCAGAACCCCTCCACCCTAAGATCCCCCGAACCCTAAAGCCTAAACCCTAACTCCCCTGGGCTAAACCCTGCATCCCGAAATGCTAGACCTCCCAGAAGCTGGAATCGGAAGATCCAAGGTTACCTGCATCCGAGCTCGCCGGCAGCCATGCAGGTCGAGGGATGAAGAATGGGACCAGGAGCCATGGGTCCATGAGAAGCATGGCGGGGTGCGTGGGGGGCTTGGGCAAGGGAGGGAGTATGCGGAGCGGGAAGGGTAGAGGTGGTGGGGGTAGGGGCGGAGAAGCCACCTGCTTGGGCCGTGGACCATAATGAATGGGGAGCCATGGGGCCAAGAGCCATGGGTCCATGAGGGGCATGGGTGCGTGAGGGGTAAGGGGTAGGGAGCTGGGTCCATGAGGGGTAGGTCAAGGGGATGGAGAGTGGGAGCATGGGCCAGAGGGGAGTGCGGAGCTGGAAGGGCGGAGGGCGGAGCAGGCGGAGCCGGCGCATGCACTGGGGCCCTTAAAGTCAGCTGAGAAGCCACATCCATGGGCCGTGGACCATGAGCCAATGGGGCCAGGAGCCATGGGTCCAGTCGGGGCGGGGTGCGTGGCGGTGGGGGTGGGGGTTGGAAGTGTGGGTGCGTGGGGGTGGGGGTGGGGGTTGGGGGTTGGGGGTGGCAGGGTGCGTGCGGGGTGGGGGTGGGGGTTGGGGGTGGGGGTGGAGCAGGGGCCATTTTTTTGACCAGCATTGGCAGCCATGCAGGTCGAGGGATGAAGAATGGGACCAGGAGCCATGGGTCCAT